GGGGGGGAGCAGGACGCCGACAGTCGCGGTGTCGCGTTGTATTGTTCGCTGTAGTGTGTGTGTTGCGATGGTTTTCGTGTGGTTGTGCTAGTTTCAACTCTACGTTAATGTTTATAATTTTCAAATTCTAAATAAATTCGCATTAAAACTTGATAGCATCGAGCTTATGTTTTATGATATTGTGAACTTTATAATAGTATGTTTTTGTTGAGCGAAACAAGAAGCGGACTTTGTAGATGTTAGTGTTTGTACGTACCGGTAGTGTTGTATGTAAGTGAACGTGAACACTCACAGGCCCTGTTGTTGAATTCTCGCTAAACATTAGTTTATATTATGTTGTAAGCAGTAAGACTAGCCGACGAGGTGTCCGCCCTCAGGCGCAGTTACCCGAACCCGTCGCTAAACATATTTGTATAATAATTTAGTTTGTTGTAAGTTTTTACTTGTGTAAATATAATGATATAGTGTTTAGTTGTGTGAATGCTTACGTGCGAGCTTTGCGGCGGGTCCTTCGAGTCGGAGGTCGCAATATGTTTGTTTGTTTGTTTGTTCGTTTCGTTCAAGTTTTGCTTTTGGGTGTATGCAATGTTGGGTTCCGTGCGCTCGGTTACTGCTGTGGGTTTCTTACGGATCTATATCAATTTATTCATTTAACGTGTAAATAAAATCTTTTAGTTAACGCGGGTTGATGCTTTGTCTTTGTTTTATGGACTTTTTTTGTTTAATTTCTGATTGGATATAGAAGCAGGTCAAAGCTGACAGCTGCTGGTCGTTATATTACAAAGAAAAATGTTCTTTAACGTTATTATCTAGCAATATAACTGGACCCCCTTACGTCTCACTTCTTATATCCAGCTATCTTATATTATTCATTTTGTTCAGAGCGACGCGGGGTGAGGGGTACAGCGGGGTGGTTACGTATACTTACGTGTTCTATCCAAATAAACCACAATATTCCTAATGTACTGAATCTTAGATTTAATGTCTGATCTCTAATTTCATTAACAGATGGCGCTGTTCTAACCTCTGAGCCCCGCCCCCTGCCCCCTGCTCCCCCCACGCCCCCTCCCCTCCCCCGTGTGAGCTCGCACAGTGCCATTGTAGTATAATTCTGAGGAAGACTCCTCTATTAACAAAAGACATGTTCTCTAACAAGTTGTGTTGCTTCTACTAAACATAGCTGTAGGTAGGTGCTAGCCGCGTGACGTCACTACCCGCCCCACGGGGGTGGCGGGGGGGGGGGGATGTCACTACGTCACGTTAATGAGTGGAAAAAAAATTTAATATCAAGGGACTTTTTATGAATAACATTTATCTTTAAAATATTTTGTTTACAACTACCCTCTTTGCTTTTTACAATTAATTTAATTAGTTAGTTTTTTTTTGTTTCGAAAATAGAATACTTTTCAATACATTAAGCGAATATTTGTTTGTTCATTTTGTTTATATTAGTATGATTTAATTACCTCGACCTCTTCTTGTTTCTAAAAAATGTTTCATTTTATTAGCAACATGCTCGTATATAACCTACAAACTTGTCAACTGACAGCTGTCAAAGTTTGACAGCCGCCGAGCGTTCTGAAATGCCTAATGCAACTTATTACAAAAAAAAACTTTTATTGTTTTATTACCCTTAACTAATTCTTGTACATTTTGATAGTGCATTATTTTTCAAATGTTATTTTTATTTCTTATAATGGTAGTTAGTGAAATTGTTAGCCGCGTCCTCATTGCATTTTGTGTTGAATATTGTTATAACTATTGCATCAGCTGTTCCGGATGTCAGCCAGATTACCAAAGCGATGTTAATTTGTGTTCCGCCGACGAGAGTTGTGTAATTTTCTTCATAAAAACATGTCTATCTGAAAAAAAAATTAAAACTGGACGTATCTGGTCCAGTGCACACTGGCGCCGCTCTGGCAATGTGTCAAGTTGTTCAACATTCTTGTTTTACTGTTCCTGTAAAAATTACATTGAAATTAATCTTTATGTTATTTTTTATGCCCAAGTAGGTTTTATATATTTTGTGACAGAATCGCGACAGCAGCGCCTCTTACTGAGTCTCATAATTTTGTCGTATTATAAAAGTAAATTGTTGTGAGAGATACAAATTACCAAGTAAATGCTTAAGTTGATTAGTTTTTAATATGTGTTTATTATTACTACTTGTGTGAAATAACAGAAAAGTAAAGTTTTCTCGTCACGACACTCTACTATGTTATTTGTAAATTTGTGACGTCATTGTAATTATGATGTTATTTCCCACGTGTAGTATCAAGTGATACCAATTTTTAAATTAATTTGATATTACCTAGAAGTCTCTCACATGTATTTATATGTAGTTTTGCTGTCAGTTTTGTTTTTGTTTTAGTCTGTGCTTACATTTTGGTTGTATTTGTTTAATTTGAATATAATATGTATGTAAACAATGATCAACTCTCGCCGGTCCACACAGCCGCGTCCGCCTTATTATGCTCAGCCGTTATTTTTTATTTTATTAAATGCACTGCTATTTTTTCTTTTGTTTTATTTTTATTGTTTCCTCATGACATTAGTAAAATGCTACACAACAGATGAACGCACTTTGCCCTTTGTTCCTTTTTACCAGACCACAAATTATTTGAAAAAATTGTCTTTTAATTATTAAAACTTCATAAATGGTTTTAATACCTAATCGGCATATATTTTGGTTCTCATTAAGAAATATTAATAAAGTGACTACAAATTAATAATTAGATATATAAATATAAGAATCCTAAATACTTATAAAAATACGAAAATTGACTCACTGTCTGTTTGTGTGTTTTAAATATGGATTTCTAGTAGTATTTGAGGGTGTCAGCGTGATGTAGCTTTGGCTTCTCTTGTCTCTGATCATATTTCTTTTTAAATAAAATATTCTTTTACACTTCTAGCACTAATGTAAAATGTGTGCCAAAACTTTTTTTTGTATTGCTAAATGTATAATTTCTTCTTCAATTGCACGTCGACTACATTTATTGCACTGATCTCTATAAAAATATAGACGATTGCTTGGAAATGACAGCTTTTGCTTCTTCAAGATTTGAAGACGCCTGTAAATGTTATACATAACAGTTAATTCTATAACAGTGTGTCTATTTAAGATAGATATATAGATTAGTTTGACATCTGACGTCTATAAATTACCAAATTAATTTTGTATGAAGATTAATGTTGTATATGTTATAGTTCGTTGTCATAGTGTCGGAGTGTATGTACACGCATTACGAACAATTATGAACTATGGAGAATCGGGCTTCTAATAATAATAATCCAAAGAAATAAATACTACAACTTAGGTATCTTATAGCTTTTTGAATTTATTACAGATATTTAGCTATGCTTCCTGCAATTAATTAAAAAGACATTAAAATAGACCTTTTTGTTTCTCAACATTTCAATTAATTGTATATTATATTTTTTTTCTACATTGTTTTGAAAAATAAAGTTGGCAAAAAAAGAAACAATTTCATTTTATCGCAAATTAAAAACAATAACCAACAAAATTTTCAATTGTAAATTGTATGAGAAGATCCATCGAAAATCGTCATTTTTCAGTTTTCAAAACAGAATTTAAACAACCAACTCTAGTGACTTGTCAAACTAATCTATCTTATCAAACTAATGAATCCACATTACCGCTTACATCAGCGCCAAAATGGCGAAAATTAAATAGGCACATAATACTACATTTTTAGCCAGTCCATTTATAGAGGTCAGTGATTTATTGCATTGTGAAAATGTTGCCATGCTTTTGGATTACATTTGGAAATAATACCAACATATCAAAACCCTTCCTTTAAAATATTTGAAATATATGGTAGCAGTAATTGTAATCAAGTTTATAATTTTATTATTTTAGTGGGAATACAGTGACAGGGTAACATTAAAGATTATGAAACTTTTTTCCTAGAATTATTAGTTTCGTTTTAGATTTATTTTAGAATGAACGAGCAGGGTAGATTAATTTGCTGAGTTCATAGATATTTTATGTAAAAATAGCTAATGTTATAAATACATACATAAATATCAAAAGGCCCGTTTGATACGTAACTGTTGTCTTGACGTCCTATAGTATAAATATAATAGAGCCCCAGCTCATTTAGCTTTGTAAACAGCTTCGATAAATTGTTTATCGAAGGTAAACAGCTTTAAAATGTATTCTGTTGACGCTTTTCTACGATTCGTGTGTAGTTTTAAATGAATGAAAAGGTAAAAAAATTATCAAAGGTTTGTTATTTAGTGTGGGCGTACTTCTCCCGATTCGCAACCAATGTTGCCAGCTCATAATATTATCCTACTATTTGAAAATTTAATAAAAAATTTGAGATTTCTTAAAACCGATTTGTATAGTCCGAGTCGGCACAATAATGTTACTGTGAGTTGCTAAAGATTGCATATTTGTTAGATATAGTTACATTCATGTTACAAAAATATGTTATCACACATTTTTTCTACAAGTTATTCGTTGAAAAATCAATTTATTTTTAATTTCTACTATTCGTACACATGTAGTTTTTGTCTATGCCAAAAAATGCGCTTTTTTTGTAGCGTTATTATTGTGTTCGTGTTAATCCTCACACAATTTTCTAGTTAAAAACCCTCGCTGGTTCGGAAGTGCTAGTATGGTAAAGAGCCGCGACGGAGGCACGAGGAGGACCTTAAACTCTGTACATGTTGACCATTCAGTTTGTTCGATAACGTAAAGACATATTGTTTGATAAAAATAACTAGTTTAATAGTTATGTGAAAAAAGGGTTTCATCGGAGATATTTTCGTATTTATGAAGTGTAGCGTAAAATGTGCAGTTTGTCTACGATTGGCTTTAGATGGAAA